TTTTTTTATTTCGAAGAAAATATATTTTAATGTACTTGATTGTCTTCAATTTAAGCACTTTTTTAATATTAATTACAATACAATTAAAACTGAAAATGTATCCTCTATAATCTATTTTTTTCTGGAGTCAGAAAGGGCTCTTAATTCTGACTTGTTGAAGAACTCTTTTTTTGAAGTCAGAAAAAAGAGCTCTTTAAGAACTCTCTCTATGAAGTCCTGATTCACTCTTTAGGTGGCGCATTGGACGTCCTCAAAACGTCTTGGAGACCTCATTTTGATCAAAATTCTGACGTCTAAATCTTAAATAAGAGTTCTTTGAGAACTGTAAAAGACGTCATATTGCTATCTGGGAAGAGTTCTTTGAGAACTGTAAAAGACGTCATATTGCTATCTGGGTATATAATCTTATACCAATATACTCAATGAGTCTCATATAAAATGTGTTAAGAATAAACTCATAAAACCTGATAAAAATAAAAATTCTCATTCGAACTCATAAATATTCGACAGAATTAACTTATAAAATATTCTGACGGGTTAAATCTTAATCATTCTTATAAAAACGTTGCCTGAAATTTCTGATACTAAAGTAACTTAATTTTGTACTGATAAATTCTGTTAAAAATCTATATCAGAAAATTTTTTGATTCTTATAAATATTTTTTAAACTTATAGATTCTGATAGGAAATTTTCAATATTTTATAAGAATTTATCAGATCTTTTCCTCAGGGAAGCATTTGGGTGATTTTCCGTGACCTGAATCACTTGACCGAGACATTAATAAGTCGCAGAATTTATTTGGCCGGGAATAATCAACCATCTTGATTCGATACCAGATAGCAGATAGTCTTATCTGAGATAATGTTCGCAGCATTAAATTCAAGTGAACTTTGAATCAGTTGAATTCTTTCTCCGACTTAAGATGATGCCCAAGTGCTTGTTAATTTTGCTGGTAGTTTTGGTGTTCCGTGCTGTAACTGGTTTGAAACTTCCCACTAATACATCTGCAGTCGGTAAGTAACTTTTGTTCCAAGTGTGACTTTGTCTAATTATTAATTATTGTTCCAGAACCTGGATATGAATGCTTTAACCAAACAAGCTGTACAACTTTGGAGAATTCGTTCTGTTCTGATGATAAAAAATGTACTTGTGAAAAAGGTTATGTTCCATGGAACGAGCGCTGTGTTCCGGCGATTGGAACAAAGTGCGATTATGAAGACTGCAAGCTTAATAATACAATATGTGAAGATGGAACTTGTCAATGTGTTTATGATTTTGTTGCTTTGTCAGACGTTGAGTGTGTGAGAGGTAAGGTGGATTTTTTGATCACTAGTTCAAATTTCTAAGTTTCAAGAACTAAAATCTGAATTTTGAGTTCCAAAATCAGAGAGGTTGATTTAGAGTTAAATAATATAGATTTTCAACTTTTGGTGTTTTAAGTTCTCAAAACTGAGTTCCAAGAACCTAGTTTCAAGTTCCAAGAACTGTGTTCCCGGTTCCAGGAACTGAGTTCCCACTTTAACGATTGCCTTTTACAGTTTCAGAACATGGAGAAAAATGCGAGGATGACATTCAGTGCAGCTGCAAGAACTTCGATACCTGCGACATTGAGGAACCGTACACAGACGTGTTCTGCGCAGAAAAAAAATGTTCTTGCCACGAAAATTACCATTACGTACCTGGCAAATACATCTGCGTTAAAAGTGCCCAAAGTAAGAACATTAGAAGAAAGCATTGGAACAGTTTAGGAACCTCATTTGTTTGTTTCAGAAATAGGTGACAACTGTACAGTCACTGACAATTGTCTCCCCATCAAGAACACTGAGTGCATTGACGACCAATGTTCCTGTCCTGAAAAAAATTTCGTGGAACAAGATCAGTGCTTTGGCGGCATAGGCGCTACCTGTGACATCTTTGGTGAAGATTGCAAGGTCAACAACTCGCGTTGCGGATTTTCGGGATGCGAATGCTTCGACGAATTCGTGGAACTCTCCGTAAAGGAATGTGTTCCAAGTAAGTTCCCGTTCCGTTCCGTCAAAACACAGTACTAAATTATTTTTTACAGTCAAGAAACGAGGCGAGGATTGTCTTATAGACGAACAATGTTCCTGTGAGAAAAATGGAAAATGTTACTTGAGTGAAACATACAAAAATCTCATCTGTTCCAAAACAAACAACGTATGTAGTTGTTCCGAAGGGTTCCATTATATTCCGGAACAAGATTCTTGTGTTCATAGCGCAGCAGGTGAGTTTAAATCCAGAACAAGTTTATTAATGTTCCGTTCCAGTGTTCTTATAAGAACTTGTTCCAGCAATTGATGATTCATGCACGCACAATTACAATTGTTTGCTTCTAAGCAACACGCACTGCAAACAAAGCAAATGTCAATGCATCGAAAATTATTTTAATTATAAAGGGCAATGCAGACAAGGCTTGAACTCGCCCTGTGTCGAGAACAGTCATTGTTCCGCGGTTCTTTACTCTCAGTGCATTAATAATGAGTGTCAATGCAACGATAACTATGTTCCAATATCAACCGGAATTTGCGCAGCAATTGCTAGCTATAAGGAACCGTGTCAGTTCCAGGAACAGTGTCGTAACAATAGAACTTTGATGGTTCCTTACGAAGAACTTGTTTGTAATGGAACTTGCTCATGTTCCAACGGTTTTCATTATGTAGATGACAAAAAAGCGTGTGTAAAAAGTTCGACAGGTAAGTTCGATTGTTCAGTTCCTGGAGCAATTTTTTTTGGAGTTAAATAATTTGTTTCAGCCGTCGGAGGGAACTGTTCGTTGAACGACCACTGTGGACGACTTACGAACACTTTTTGTTGGGAGAATAAATGTTCTTGTTTAGAATATCATTACCAGCGAGAGGAACAATGTGTTCGAGGAATCGGAGCCCGCTGTTCCGGGAACTGTGAGGCGACAAACTCGATTTGCGGATCAACTGGGCGGTGCATCTGCTCTCCTGGACACATATTTGCTACTGAGGATCGGTGTGTTCCAAGTAAGTTCCATCGGTTCCATTCCTGGAACAAGTTCTTAGAACATTGTTCAATTTTTTTGCAGTAATTGAGCTTGGAGGGAATTGTGAGATGGATGATCAGTGTTCTTGCTTGCATCAAAAGTGTGACTTGGAACAACCGCACAGAGATCTTGTTTGTTCCAGTGGAACTTGCGGTTGTCCCGCTAACTATCACTTCAGTCCCAAATCAAAGTTTTGTATTTACACCGCAAAAGGTAAGAAGTATTTTGCTTGTTCCAGAACAATGATTGACCAAAGATTTGTTCCAGGAATCGGCGAACAGTGTTCCACTGACGAGAACTGCGTGCAGCTTCCGTTCACAGAGTGTAACAATAATAAATGCATGTGTAAACCGAACTACTTTTCATCAGAAGGTAAGTGCAAGATTGGGTTGAATGCTAATTGTAACAGCACCAACCACTGTTCCGCGGTGGAACATACCGAGTGTAGGAACTATAAGTGCAAATGCACGGAACTGTTCGTGGAACGGTCAACGGAACTTTGCGTTCCGGTGAGTTCTTTCGGCGGAGACTGCGAGGTCGTCGAACAATGCACCAGTCAAACCTCGAATGCGACTTGCGAGGCACCGACAGATGGCGCGAACAAGGTGTGCCGATGCGGAACCGGGCAGCACTATCACGCCACCGGGTGCTTCTTAACTAGAACACTGGACGAACGATGTGATTCGGACAGCGAATGCTTCGTTACTTCTAAGTACGACAGTGTTGCTTGTATAGAGAACAAGTGCGTCTGCGTCGAAGGGTTTGAGAAGGTCAATGGAACATTCTGCGGTACGTTAGTTCCTGCTTGTTCCTGAGCGCTTTTATTGACAATACTTTTGTTCCAGGTGGCGCGGGCAGTGTTCTCGCCTCTGCACTGTTAGTTTTCCTCATGGTGGTTGTCAAGTCTGCCGTCTAGGAACCATTATTCCAGGAACTGCTGGGATGGCACTGTTCCTTTTTTTTTGTATGATGGAACAATTGTTATATTATATGTAGCTGACATTGTACATTATACATTTTATATATTAGTCAATATAGTTTTTTGTAGTCACTAATTAAAAGTATTGTTCTAATTATTTGTATATTAATTTATTATTGTTTGTACCCGGAACATTATTTTTAAAATAATATTAAAATGGTTCTTGGAACAAGAACAAAATCTTTTTTGAGACATGTGCAACATTGTACTTGCAACTTATGGAACATTGTTCTTGGAACATATGGTACATTGTTCTTGGAACATTGTTCTAAGAACATATGGAACCTTGTTCTTGGAACATATGAAATATTGTTTTAGGAACATTGTTCTTGGAACATATAAAATGAAAAATTCAGAAAAACTTTTAAAATTGATTTATTAAGTCTTGTATTTACATAAAAAAAATTCACAAAATGAATTGCAACATCCGATAAATTTGTACGGTTATTAAAAATTCATTCAAAAATGAGCACTTACAGTAAAAAATTTTATCCATTTAATTACTCTAATAAATCTATAATAATAATAATAATAATAATAATAATAATAATAATAATAATAATAATAATAATAATAATAATAGTATAGTCACTATACTAGACATTATTATTATTATAATACAGCAGCAGTTTGATTTGAATACCCGGCACTATAAAACTTAAGACAGTGATTAATTATAAATAATAATAATATTAATTATAATTATAAATTGTTCTATTAAATTAATGATTGATTAATTAAATTATTAATTAATAAATCAGGGATAGAATCAGCCGGATTCAAACTTCTGGATTATCTGGTGCAGTTGGACGGAATTGTGACAATAGGTAACCGCGTTCCATCTCGTTAACTTCTTGATGCTCTTGGCCGCCATTTGATGAAGCGTTAATGCCTATTCCGCTTATTGCTATGTTTGATCGTGCTAAACTGTTCCGCTGTCGGCACATATATGGTGTTTCACCTGGTGATGGTGTTTCACGTCCCTAAAAAATTTTTATCATAATAACACCAACAATAATAATAATAATAATAATAATAATAATAATAATAATAATTATTATTATTATTATTATGATTAATTTTTACATGTAAGCAATTGAACTTGATTCAGAATGTAAAGCTTCACAACATCGGAAAAATAATGATGGGGATGGAGGATTTTTCAGGTAATACTGTATTAGGTAAAATCAGGTATTAGTAAAATAATATTTTTAATAATTGATTAATTTATAAATTAATAAATAATTAACCTGCTTAGAAGGACCACAACAGGTAGCTTGATTGCACGGTTTGTCAGTTTTAGGACAATCTAATACGCAGTCTTCAGTAGGAGTTTCTTTGACTTCACTATTCGAGTGATACTAAAAAAAAATAAATAATTTTGTTAAATTGCACTGTATTTTTTTAAATATTGACATTTTTTAAGATATAAGCTCATCCTGATGTTACACTCATCAAGAGCTTTCATTTAAGTACCCACATGCATTTTTCATATATTTTTCATATATACATATATATAATATATATAAATATATAAAATATATGAAAAATTGATGTGGGTACTCAAATGAAAGGTCTTGATGAGTGTAACGTCAGGATGAGCTTATATCTTTAAAAATATCAATAGTTCTCAAGATACAAGATCATTTCTTAATTATGTAAATATTGATTACCTCAATAAACTCAGGTTGGATAGTAGTAGAATGTATACCCTCATTATGGAAGAATTCTTTGACCTGTTCAGCGATTTTCATGTACTCAGATAAATTACGACATCTGATGTGAGCTGATGCAATAATTCGATCACCAGCTAATTGCCATACATGGAACTCGTGAACTGCTAAAACACCATCTACATTTTCTAGTAATCGTTGCTGGATAGCTTCTACTTGAATGTGTGTCGGGACTGTTTGGAGGAGAATCAAAGCTGATTCTTGAAGTAGCGGCCACACTGATCGGAGAATTAGTAAGACTAATAGCAGTGATAGAGCTGGATCGATGTAGAATCTTTAATTTTAATTAAAAAAAAAAAAATTTTACTTGGCATCAAAAATAGAGAGTACTTGGCTTGAAAAAAAAAATTTTTTTTTTTAATTATTTCCCGCCAAGTAACTAACCTGTACTCCCACTTGGTCAGCCAAACAATCAACGCAGAAACAATGACAATAACCGAGCCAAGTGCATCTGAAAGTACATGAAGAAATACACCTCTCATGTTCATCTGACTGGCATCATGGCTGTGTCCATGGTGGACCTTTTTCACCGGACTAGCGGGACGATACGCGGTGCTCGTCGTCGTGTCATTGTCATGATCATTGTCATTGTCATCAGTGCCAACGAGGGTGCTCAGTCGATTGTGACTTCTGGAAATTCCATGAGAGTGTCCATGCATGTTTCCGTGTTCTGTAAATTTAATTTAAATTGATATTATAATTATTTTTGGTTTGATACTTGAGCCAAGTACTTGAACAAACCTAGGTAGGACGTTGAGGGAAGGATATAATTACACGGGTGTGGACAGGAGAGAGGACACAATTTGTAGTAATTTATTTCTTCTATTTTCTTTTTTTTTCTATCTAAAATTTTTTATAATTATTAATTTTAATTTAAAATTAAAATTAAAAAAATTGAAATTTTGCTTTATTAATTAACTTTTGTTAAATTCGACTGTAATTTCTTAAATATTGACATTTTTTAAGATATAAGCTCATCCCGATGTTCCTCTCATCGAGACCTTTCATTTGAGTACCTACATGCATTTTTCATATATATATATATATATATATATATAATATATAAATATAATGAAAATTGATGTGGTACTCAAATGAAAGCTCTCGATGAGTGTAACCTCAGGATGAGCTTATATCTTTAAAAATGTTAATAGTTCACAAGATACAAGGTCGTTTTAAGTAAAAGATAAAAATTTTACCGTGTTTTTGTTTTTTTTTATTAAAAATTATTAAAATAAAATTACCATGGAAGAGACACAGTCCTATGAGGTTGACAAACAACCCCAGAGCTCCGACTATCACCAGGAGTTTAGCTTCGTGGATCTCCTCGACCTCGATAAATCTCTTACAGGCTTCAACAGTTATACTAAAGCATAAGGCAACTAAGAATACGGCGTTAACTAGCGCGCCAAGTACTTCTGCTCGCGCCCAACCGAATGTGTTTTTCGACCATTTTTTGGGCGACATCTGTCAAAAATTAATTAAAATATTAATGATTAATTTCAATTTTTATTAATTATAATTCAATTAGCTGACCTTGACAGAGAGAAACGCAACCACCAGCGCTGCCACATCTGATAACATATGAAAACTATCGGCTATTAACGCCATTGAATTAGTAACATACCCGACTATTATTTCAACTAGGAAGAAAAATGCTGTCAGCCATAACATCGTTAATAAACGACATTTTTTTCCTGTATACCTTCCCATTTTTATTTTTTAATTTATCTGTAAAAAAAAAAATTTTTTTTTGTTTAAATTATACGACCTAAAGTTGACAGAGAAATTTTTTTAGAATTTTATAGCAATTAAATTATTATAAAAAAAAAAAATTATTTTAAAAATTCTATATGTAAAAATTAATAAAAATTTTTATTAGCATTTTTTTATGGATTTGTTAAAAAAATTTTTAAAACTTTATCATAATTTTACAACCCAAAATTTTATAGAATTTATATGACTGAATCTTATCAATTAGACTAGTTCAAAAAAATATATATGTAATTTATTATTATTATCGGTAGTAATACTTAAAATTAATCTAACTTGTTATCACTTAAGTAAATCGGTTAATCTTCTTATGTCAAAAAATAATGTTGATTTTTTAATATTATCAGTCTAGAGAATATTTATATATCTTGATAGATTTTATTACTATTATCATTTTTAATAAAATAGAAAATTTTATGATTAATTTTTTTATTTTTGGAATTAAATAAAGAAAATTAAATTTTAAGCAAAAATTATTATTACATATATTGAAAAAAAAAAAAATATAGGACCATTTTTTAATTTTTTTTTATAAACAAATTATTTTTAAAAAATTGGATTTTTAATTTTTTAATGTCAATTTTTTTTCCTAATTTGTTTTTTGTCATAATTTATTTGTTAAAAAAATTCTAAAATATCTAATAAATTAATTTTCATAAAAAATGTCAATAAAATTAAAAAAAAAAATTATTATAACCTTACTGTCACTTAAAATAAAAAATAAATTAATTAAACTAACTTAAAATAATTTTTCTTCTCACTTGCAGAAACTTTTTTTTAACTTATAATTATATAAAAAAAAAAAATTAGAAAAACGGTTCATCCTAAAGGCCATCCCTGCAACTTCCCGCTCATTTTGTACTTAAACGCTTTAAACTACACATTACGTTTTTGAGCTCATCGAGCTCAAAAATATTATTTTTGTGTCAATTTGAGCTCTTCGAGCTCAAAACTCTAATAGCAGTTTTAAGACACAATTTTTTGAATTTTCAAACAGCAATAACTTTTGAATGAATGAACCGATTTTCTCGCGGTTGGCGGCAATCGACGCAGTTTTTGGAGCTCCATGAAAAATTTTCAAGTTTTAATCAATCGAGGCATGAATTTCGAAGTTATTACAAAAAAACACTTTTTTCGATTTTTTTCGACAACGATATCTCACGAACGCATCAACCGATTCTAACGTTTTTGGTGGCGATCGATGAAGGTTTTCAAGGTTAAGAGCTGATTAGTTTTTGAGACCGATCGGTTCAGCCAATTCGGAGATATTTAAAAAAAATAAAAAAAAAAAAACAACTTTTTTTTTTACACTTTTTTTGGATTTTCTCGAAATCTACCGGTCCGAATCGGTTCAAATTTTCAGGAAATCTAAGTTTAGTGAAGCCCTTTCGAATGACACCAACCGCGATGAAATCGTTCGAGTCGTTCAAAAGTTACAAGAGGTTTACATACACACACACACACACACACACACACACACACACACACATACATACATACAGACGTACGGACATCATCGTAAAAATACATCATCGAAAAATAGTCAGCGAAGCTTCCTGTGACCTTCAAACGTCGAGATATGATGAAAACTCGATTTTTGTTAAACGGTGTGAAAACAATAACTTCCCGATTTTTGAAAATCTGAGATTTTTAGCGGGAAGTTAAAAAAAAATAACTTACCTCACTTGAAATTGACGCCAATAATAAATATTAAATTATTAAAAAAATCACCAAAGTTCAGCCATCACAAAATGAATTCATTTTTGCGGAAACTTCCACCATTATCTGAAATAAAATTACAATTAAATTTTTTAACACAAAAAATATTTATTAAAAAAAACTCACCAAAATCATAACCAAAAAAACAAAATATATATTTTCAATAATAATAATAATAATAATTAATATTTTAACTTGATAAATTTAAATAAATACTTATTATCATAAATAAAATAATAAAAATATTAAATATTAAATTTTAGTAAAAAATTTCCAGAGCTAGTTTTTTATTGTCTAAATATTTGAGTGAATTGTTGTGTGAAAAATGACTCGCCGTTACGGTGACGGGTGACGCGACTGTATATAAAAAAAAAAAAAAAAAAAAAAAAAAAAAAAACACTTACTGTTGTTTAGTCGATACCTCGAAGCGCATTCGATGATTTAATTACCTTATTACTTAAAAAATAAATTCAAACTTTAGAAAAATCTATCAAAAACTTGCAATAATAATTATTAAAAAATTTTATTTAATTTAAAATTTTTATTTTAATTGTCAAAATTTTTTAGACAGCACAATTGTAGACAGATCAGCTGATTGCTAAAATCTCGCACTGGCGCCGTCTGGTGTCATTTTAATTTGAACTAAATTGCCCCAGAATTAAAGTAATTAAAGCACAAACTCTTTTACCAGCTATTAAATGTATAAATTTTTTTAGAAATATTTTATAGCAATTAATAAATTATTATAAAAAATATTTAATTAAAAAATTCCTCATGTAAAAATTACAAGTGAATATTTTTAGAAGAATTTTATTATTGTTAAAAAAATTTTTAAAATTAACAGCTGACGGCTAACTTCAGTATTATAAATTTATACTTATATAGTTTGATTATTAGGATGAATATGAATAATACTTGTGTATAATGTGTTAGTGTTAGACCATTGGATGTAAGGCTCGGATTGATGGATGGACAGACACAACCATAGACGCTAAGAAAGTTTTAACAATTTTGTTTTTGTTGAGTGTTGAGTAAACATGACACTTTTGCCAGGTAAGTTCATGATTTTTATTTTTGTTAATTTTTTGGCTTAACAGAGGGGGAAGTTGTTGAGTGATTGATAATGTCTGGAGGTAAGAAGTGGCTGCGGGGGTTATGTATAAAAAATGGCGAGTTTTTCAAAAATTTTTTGGTTATTTTTTTATTATAATAAAATTGAGTAATTATTTTTGCAATAAATAATAGCAAAGAAATTTGTTTTTAAAATTAAAAATAGAAGCTCTAATCAATAATAAATTTTTTAGACCTAGCTTTATATATTTTTATTTAATTAAAAAAATTGTCAGCTGATATTATTATGTCAGTGTTGTTATTTAGTTAAAAAATTTAATTTTGATTTATTTAAATAGTTTTATTATTATTTACTGTTGTAATTATTATTAAGCTTTAAAATAATAATTAGTAATAATTGCTAATTGACGACTATTGTCAAATTTTGTGAAATTATTGTAAACATTCAAGGAACCTTAATGACAAGCACAGTGAAACACATGTCGCACTGCTGCCTGTTGGTCCTGATAATAACAACCTTCGAGTACACCTCGGGAGTACTGAGCGTCCTGGAAAGCGAAGAAAGACCGAGGATAGACTCGTGGGAGCGGTACGGAGTGGTGGCGCCTCTGCTGTTCCTACTGAGACTGCTGACGCTTTTGGCACTCCCGCAGTCGCTGTTCAATTTCCTGGGACTGACGTTGTACAACGCCTTCCCGGACAAGGTAACTCTGAAGGGTTCGCCCCTTCTGGCGCCATTCATCAGCATCCGGGTGGTCACTCGGGGGGATTATCCTCACCTGGTCTCGAGGAACGTCACCTGGAACCTGAACAAATGCCTGGACGTCGGTCTGGAGAACTTCCAGATCGAGGTGGTGACCGACAAGCCCCTGGGGCTCAAGTCCCACCGGCGACTGAGGGAGCTGGTGGTCCCGAGCGAGTACCGGACCAAGACGGGGGCCCTCTTCAAGGCTCGGGCCCTCCAGTACTGCCTCGAGGAGGGGCTAAACGAGCTGGCCGAGCACGACTGGATCGTCCACCTTGACGAGGAGACTCTCCTGACTGAGAACTCCCTAAGGGGGATCCTGAACTTTGTCCTGGACGGGAAGCACCCCTTCGGCCAGGGACTGATCACTTACGCTAACGAGAGGGTGGTCAACTGGGTGACGACAATGGCCGACTGCTTTCGCGTCGCCGACGACATGGGCAAGCTCCGGTTCCAGTTCAACATGTTCCACCGGCCGCTCTTCAGCATGAAAGGCTCCTACGTGGTCACTCAGGTAATTAACTCTCTTGAATGATCATTATCATTGTATTATGATAGGTATAATTTTTGGGGGTCTGTTCCAGGCGGGGGCTGAAAGAGAGGTCGGCTTCGACAACGGGATAGACGGGTCAATCGCCGAGGACTGTTTCTTCGCATTGAAGGCCTTTAGCCTCGGGCACTCGTTCAACTTCATCGAGGGTGAGATGTGGGAGAAGTCTCCCTTCACTATCTGGGACTTTATCCAGCAGCGTAAGCGGTGGATCCAGGGGATTTATCTGGTGGTCCACTCCCGGCAGATTCCTCTGAAGAACAAGCTCCTGCTGGGAGTCAGCTGGTACTCGTGGGCAACCCTCCCACTGTCGACCTCAAACATTCTCCTGGCAGGGCTGTGCCCAATCAGCTGTCCGAAGATCCTCGACGGGCTGTGCGCGTTTATCGGGGCGATTAGCATCTACATGTACGTCTTCGGAGTGATAAAGTCCTTCTCCCTGAGCAGGTTCGGGCTCTTTCGGTATCTGGCGTTCATATCCGGAGCCCTCGCAATCATTCCCTTCAACCTCGTCACCGAGAACATCGCAGTCGTCTGGGCGCTGCTCGGTAAGAAACACAAGTTCTACGTCGTCAGCAAGGAACATCAACCTCCTGTCACTGTTTAAGTTCCTTTTTTTTTTAATTATACATTTTCGCGGTTTCAACTGCCTCAATTATTATTATTATTTATTTTTGTAAATATTTATAGGACAAATATTGCTAATTAAGCGATACAAATTTTTCACTTTAGAATTTTCAATTAAAAATTCGTTGACAATCGCATTTGTAAATAAAAATATGGTATTTACTTAAAAAAAAAAAATCATAGTGTACAAAATAAGAATAATAATAATAATAATAATAATGAACGCTTTTATTATTTAGTATTTAAGACTTAACTTAGTGCCATTAAGTTATTAACTTTATAAAAATAAATTTCGGTTTAATTAAAGTCTAGTCATAGGCGCAAAAAAAAATCTTCCACCTGCAAAAAATCGAACAAATCTTTAATTATTTTTTTAGAGTCCTCACTATTTTTAATTACCAAAGTATTAATTAATTAATCATTCATCATATCAAAGATAAGTTTAAGTATTAACCTTCAATTAAATATTCTTTTTATAAACGCACATTGTAATTAATTTAATTCTTGATTTATTAATTAATGTCTTCGTTGTAAAATTAATATTTAATATTGTATCAAATGTAAAATAAATATCGAAATTATTTATAGAATATAAAATTTTTATTTATTGTTTTTGGAACCATGTTCCATTGGTTCCAGGAACCATGTTCCATGTATTGTATAATTAATGTTCCTTGTGTTCTGAGAACAATGTTCCTTTATGTTCTAGGAACAATGATCCATTTACGAATATTTAGAACAATACTCCGAATTAATAATTACAAAAATTTTTATTGAACAATGTATAAAGTACAATATATAAAACTGCAATAAAAAATCAACGCCATCTATCAGTTCCTATGGAACAACCGTTCCTAGATGGCAGTCTTGACAACCACCATGAAGAAAACTAACACTACTGAGCCGAGAATACTTCCCGCGCTACCTGGAACAAAAAGTATCGTCAGTAAAAGCGCTCAGGAACAAGCAGGAACTAACGTACCGCAGAATGTTCCATTGACCTTCTCAAACCCTTCGACGCAGACGCACTTGTTCCCTGTGCAAGCGACACTGTCGTACTTGGACGTAACGAAGCATTCGCTGTCCGAGTCACATCGTTCGTCCAGTGTTCTCGTTGGAAAGCACCCGGAGGCGTGGTGGTGCTGCCCGGTTCCACATCCACACACCTTCTTCGCACCATCTGTTGGCGCCTCGCAAGTCGCGTTCGAGGTTTGACTAGTGCATTGTTCTACGTACTCGCACTCTCCGCCGAAAGAACTCACCAGAACGCAAAGTTCCACCGACCGTTCTACGAACGGTTCCGCGCATTTGCACTTACCCTTCTCACACTTGGCATGTTCCACCGCGGAACATTGGCCGGTAGTTACACAATTAGCGTTTAAACCTATCTTGCACTTACCTTCCGATGCAAAGTAGTTCGGTTTGCACACGCACTTGTTCTCGTAGCACTCCGCAAACAGTAGCTTTTCGCAGTTCTCGTCAATGGAACACTGTTCGCCGATTCCTGGAACAAACTTTCGTTAGTCATTGTTCTGGAACAGGCAAGGAACTTGGCAGTTCCACAACTCACCTGAAGAATGAACACAGGCGTTCCTTCTGAAGGCGTAGTGGTGGTTAGGCTGACACTTGCATTGTTTGTTCCAACAAATAATGTCTTTGAATGTGTCGCTCAACTGGCATTTCTCGTCATGCATACAGGAACATTGTTCACTTTCTTCACAAGGCTGCCCAAATGACTGAACTGAAAAAATGGTAAGTTGGTTCTATTGTAATAGAACACTATTGTGCTATTGTGCTGAGAACTTACTTGGAAGACAGTGAGTGGTATTAGAAAAAATAAACCTCGGTTGGCAAACACAGTGGGTAGTTGATCCACAAGTCGAATTTAGTGCTTGACATTTTATTGTTTTCGAACAATCAGCTCCTAGTCCAGGAACACACTGGTTGTTCAATTCAAAGTAATATTGTTTACAACGACATTGTTCGTTGGTACACTCTGAATTTTTAATGGTACAATCATTGTTTGTTTGACATTTCTTGAAGATATCTAGATTATAAATTTTATTGTTTAGCTGACTTGTTCTTAGAACAATAATGTTCTATTGTTCTAAGAACAACAATGTTCTATTGTTCTAAGAACAATAATATTCTATTGTTCTAAGAACAATAATGCTCTACTGTTCCAAAAACAATAATGTTTTATTGTTCAATTGTTCTGGGAACAAAGTATTTTTACTAAAAAAATACATTTTTATTTCAGAGATTAAATGGTATTAGTAAAAACTTACAAATTTTTAAGCAGCCATATATTTGATAAAAACTTACTTTTAAGATAACTAAGATAATATATAAAATATTTGTCAATTTTTATCGATTGATTACATATATTATAAGCCAGTAATCTTTGAGGTAGTAATAGTGATAAACTATCTCATAATTGATAAGGATATCAAGATTCTAACATGAATAAAATTCGACAAAAGAAGTTGTTAATATTATTATCAATTAAGATTGCTGCTATTTTTTTTTCATCGGACTATGAAACATTGGAACTGTGGTATAATGTCACAAGAGACCAATTGACCTTGAGATTAATTTAGCATAGGAATAGAGGAACAAAGAATGATGGAAACAATGGAACACCAGATCAGTGGAACAATGGAACCGTAGAACAGGGGAAACAATGGAACTGAAAGACAATGAACCTCTACAACAATTGGTTAATTGGTTGACAGAACAATCGAATAGAGGAACAATGCAACCACAGAACAACATAATAGTGGAACAATAGAACTTAAAGACAATGAACCTATGTACCAATTTTTTGTCAGAACAAAGGAACAATAGAACCACAGATCAACAGAACAATGGAACTTACTGACAATGAACCTATGTAGCAACTCGTTGATAGAACAATCAAACAAAGGAACCATAGAACAGTGGAACAATGGAACAATAGAATAATAGAACATTATGACTTACCTGAAACGTTTGGTATGCTAGGCAGGCTGTCTTCGGTGGTGTACTCATTGAAATCAGCCGTAAGGTTGGAACTTGCGGCGGTTCCAAAGAACATCACCAACCAAAATATTGCGTAATCAGCCATAATATCGTCGTATCTTTCAGACTGATGAACTCTAGCTCAATCTGGGCTTATATTGGCACCAATAATTTAAAGCACTTGAGATTTAGGCACCGATATGCTGATACCACTATCGAAATTAACGGAAGCCTACTTCCTAGAAGTTGGGTGAGTAATTAGGCCACACGTGAAGTTGAGTCGAAGTGAACGTGAAGTAATTAATTAATTATTGTTATTAAAATTTTTCTACCGTGTTATTTGAAAATGTTCCATTATTGTTGGTGACCTTGACCTCGGTAATACGGTATTATAATGTCCAGGCTTAAATAACGCAAAACTAATCCCACCTGCCTGTTCCTACCCCCTTCTACCCCAGTGTCAAGCGACACGCGATCCAATAATACCGACAAATAACTCACCCCTGAATTATTACACGGTAATTGTGTGTTGTATGTTGTGTGTTAATATTTACAAATGTATTCCTTGTTATCGGTGATCCATAATCTGTTATTACTAATCCATTAACACCAATTTGAAACAAATCAAGACGACATCCTTAACCTCGATCCTTTAGATCGCCGACGAACATCAGCTGGAGGGGGGCTCTGACCTTTTTAAAAAGGTCAATTTTGTTGACTATTGTTCTAAGGTAGATTCTGGAGAAAGTATGAGAGATAGGGAAAAATCATTGGAACAAAAGTTGTAGGAAATTTAATTGTCTTCCTAATTATTTTTTTGAGTGAAAAAAAAAAGTTTAAGAGACGGATTTATTAACTATTAATAATTTAATTTATTTGAAGACAATTATTTAATTTATTAAATTTTAATAAATATTTTTTAACATTCAATAAATATTTATTTGAGAGGAAAGTATATTTATTGATGTAAATAAACAAAATATTAATTTTTAAAGGGTGTTTTTTATTGTGAACACACAAAATACGCAAAAGTTTTTGGACCACTACAAAAATGGCGATATCTCGGAAATGGTTTGAGATATCGATTAGAACCAAAAGACCAAAGTTGTAGGGCTTGAAATTTCCTAAAAATAATGTCCTAATTTGGGTCCTAATCGATATCTCGACTTCCCTTCGAGATATCGCTGGTTTTATAACGGGTTAAAATACGCACGCGTTAAATGGTGTTCTGACGATCAAAAATTGTCGATATTTAAAAAACGGGCCGAGATATCGATTTGGTCCTAAGAACCAAATCTAAGGCGTTGAATTTCCCGGATTTTGTCTTAATTCCTAGTCGATATCTCGAGCCGTTTCCGAGCACTCGTCAGAATAAGAAGGATTTATTAATTATTAATAATTTAATTTGTTTAAAGACAATTATTTAATTTATTAAATTTTAATAAATATTTTTTAACATTCAATGAATATTTATTTGGGAGGAAAGTACATTTATTAATAATTAATTTATTGTTAATAAATATTTATTAAATCCTCCGTTAAAAAATCATTTATTAACAGTTAATAAAGCTAGAGATTCCAACAGGTTATGGGCCCAGGCACCTGATTTAGGTAATTAAGTAAACAAGTAAAATTGAGGTTTCAAGTTAATATAAGGGTTTTTAGTTGACTTAAAAAAGTCAAGTAAGGCCAAAAAATTGCTAAATAAATAACAACACCTTAGAAAAATAGTTATGAATTGCATTACTTAAGAAATTACAGTCGATAAACACCTTGACCTCGAGAGAAATGACGTCACAATCTTCTCGCAACGTCATCAACGTGAAAGGCCGCGGACATTTTGTGCCAAAGTATTCGTGTTAGCTCGAATTTAAGGACGTTGCGTGTCGGCAATCGTGATTTCTCGGCTCTTATCACACACGGATAAGTTTTTTTTCTTTATTACTTTTTTATTTTATTTATTATTATTTTTTTTACTAACTCTAATAAGTTTCTTTCACTCAAAACATCTATTCTAATTTTTTTCTAAGATTTTCTCCAATAATTTTAATTAAAATCTCGATAAAAAATAAATCAGCTTGTAAAAGATCAGAATTTGTGTTAACACGCGAGCTTGACTCTAATAAAATCGATTACAAATTGGGCTAGTATATAAATTATTTATTTTTACAACAGTTATTATCATTGCAAATTGCCAATTAGTCTAACAATAAAATAATTTATTAATTTTTACGTTTAAATTTAAATTAATAAAAAGTAACTTTATAAAAAATTTAATTCTCTACAATTTTTGTCTTATAATTTTTCGATATCCCCAAAAATTGCTTTTTAAAATTTCTATCCAAGTTTTAATAATTAAAAAACAAAATTCATTATTTTAAAAATCAAAATTTTTATAAAAAAAATATTTAAATTATAAAAAAAATTTTTTAAACAAACTTTATAGAGAATAAAATTTTTTATAAGCTAAAAAGCTCTCTAAAGTTGAAAAAAAGCGAAAAATTCTCTAAAAAAATATGCATAACAAAAAAAAACGACCCAACTTACCCCTAACAAGCTTATTATCATAAATACCTCAATTGAAATGAAATAAAAATTTTATTTACAAATAATTACAGTTATTATTCAAATGAGAAATTATTTTTAAAAGACCGCAGTTTCGGTAACACAATAATTTTAACTTACTTCTTTGGCAAGGGGAAGGGGGAGCCAAGCTTTAAAAGGACTCACAGGTATCGACTCGCTACCAGTATAACCCGTGTCTCCAAAAGCTAAACTTAAAAAAGTGCAGTGTGTGATTAATTTTATTCTAATTTGTTTATTATTAAATATTTATCATGAAAAAATACCTGATGTATATTAATCTCCTGAGTTTTATTATTTTTTTGATTTTGTTGCCCATTAATTCTAGTGCGCTTACAACTTTTGGGAAAACTAACACCCAGAATCAAAATCCTCCTCCTCCTACTCCAGGTAAGTTTTTTTTTTTAATTTAAAGTGCTTAGACATTCTTTTAAATTACTGAGAATTTTTCGCGGGTAAATTTTGAATTATTGGCGGGAATTTTTGGCGCCAAAATCAATTTTTCAAAAAATAGAAGGATTTGTTTATATTTAATAAGCTTTATTAACTAATAAATGATTTTTTAACAGAGGATTTAATAAATATTTATTAACAATAAATTCAGAACACCATTTAACGCGTGCGTATTTTAACCCGTTATAAAACCAGCGATATCTCGAAGGGAATTCAAGATATCGATTAGGACCCAAGACATTATTTTTAGGAAATTTTAAGCCCTACAACTTTGGTCCTTTGGTTCTAATCGATATCTCAAACCGTTTCCGAGATATCGCTATTTTTGTAGTGGTCCAAAAACTTGTGCGTATTTTGTGTGTTCACAAAGAAAAACACCCTTTAAAAATTAATATTTTGCTTACTTATATTAATAAATATACTTTCTTTCCACATAAATATTTATTGAACGTTAAAAAATATTTATTAAATTAAATAATTGTCTTCAAATAAATTAAATTATTAATAGTTAATAAATCTAAAAATTCGACTTTCAAAAAAAATTCTGAGTAATAAACATTAAAAAAAAAATTATAATTGACAATAAAGCTTATGTAGTAAGCCGTAGATTAGGACTACCATTAGATAGACTTGTCTTTACATTTTATAGCTTACAATAACGAGGTGGTAATTGGCAGTAACTTCAATAAAAGCGCTTTTGAATTAGAACGATTAACTAGTATGGGAAGAAGCGGAATGCGACCAACCGGGTTGAAGGGCTCCTCGTCGCATGTCGGACACAACAGCTGTAAATAGTTTTATAGACCATAATATAAATAAACCTATTTATATTATTTATCCAATATGCAATTACAATCACCACCTATTTATTTTACATGTAATTTACTTCCGTTGACACGGCCAGCATGACGTTTGTTTTTCAATAATCTTCATTTTTATCATTATTTATTTATTTATCGCCCCACAACTTTGTTTCAGTGGGAAAAGCTCGAGAGTGCAAAGCAGAGGCTGACTGCAGTGCCATCCAGAACACAACTTGCGTTCAGGATCCAAATGGCGACAAAAAACGGTGTCTTTGCGGCGATTTATCGGCTCCGGTCAACGGATTTTGCAGCTACCAGTTCAAAGGTGATTTTTTTTTCACTTTCCTAGCTTAATTTTGTCCAAAAAATACCGCTAGAACAATTCTAGCATAAAAAAATAGTGGTCCAGTTTTTGGTACCAACCAGTCGATAATTGGGACATGGCCCGATTTTGACTCTGTTGCTCTCTAGGTCGATTTGGGAGCGTGAAAAAAAGATATCCTGAGAGTTTAGAAGCTTAGAATTTATTTTAAAGCCTTTATTTGTGATAATTAATAGAAGTTTAGACGTCGCAACCCGACGTCTGATTTAGAAATCAAAATTCTGACCAAACTATTAGACTTATGGAAAAATGATTTAAACAAAAGTTGTAGGAAATTTAATTCTCTTCTCGAGAAGAGTATCTCGATCCAGTTTCTCAAAAATTAGTGTTTAAAATTAAGGTCTACAAATGAAGGTCTTTTGATATTCAAATCAAAATTGTGACCAAATTATTGAAGCTAAAAAAGATGTTTAGAACAAATCTTGTAGGAAATTTGATTCTCTATTTTGTATCTTATAATTTTTTCATATCCCCTTAAATCAAAATTAATATAACTAATAACAATAAATTTCTTCCAGCATTGCACGCGATATGTAACGACGACAACGAATGCGGCGAGGGGGCTGAATGCAATAGAGAGAACGCCACCTCCCCAGCAAAGAAATGCGTGTGTAAGGAAGATTACTACGAAGAAGACTTCAAATGCAACGGTATAAACAACCCCACAATCCTCCCACCAACACACATTAACCTTTCTTTCTCTTTCAGGATCGATATCACTGGAGAACTCGCTCCTGCTATTGATTTTCTCAATTCTTACCATCAAGTACTAAACCATCACGCTATTTATTTATAATTCTCAAAATAACACTTGTAATGATTGCTTAAATAAATTATTTAATTAAAAAAAAGTCATTAACTAATTAACTCCGATCCCTTATCAATTTCTCTGATCAAACCGATAAATAAAGCACTCAAAATAGCCAGCGATTGTCCCAAAGGGACACCGGCACATATTTTCCACGCACTTAACAGGATAGTACATAGAATTTTCCAACACCGGCTTTTGAAGATGATGGTAGTAGGACCAGACCTTGATATCTTGACACGTATCATCCATGTAGCAGCATTCACCAGGACCTAAAACCAAGCGACCACCAGAAAATAATGAAGACTACCAAACAATTTCAACAACTCACCGCTAGCCATAAGATTGTAGCAATTAATCAATTCATAATGCCTGCACTGCTCACTAGTACTGCAGCTGAATTTTTTCGAACAAGATCCACCAACCTCGTAATGAGTCCAGTGACATTGGCAGGTGCTATTGATGCAAGCAGCGTTCGGAATTGTCGCACAAGATTCCGGAAAGTGACACTTTTCACCAAGACCTGAAACAAGCCAAGCTATCAACCTGGTCTAAGCTATCAAAATCGTAAGTTACTTCTGGCGTAAGGGTAGCAGGATTTGTCGATTAGAAAGTGATCCTTCTTGCACTGGCAGATTTTACGAGGTCCACACTCGGAATTCGTGTACCCACAGTCCATATGATATAAGCAACGATAACCATTGTGTGCGACACAATATCTTTTACTTTTCCAGTAGCCTGTTGGGCAAACGCATTCACCATTTGGGCAAATGAAAAGTCGCGGGCAGTCACTACCGCGACGCTGGGGCTGGCAACTGGGACCAGGGGCTGAAATGATAAGACAGTTAGAAGCTGTACGTTGGAAAGTTATCCTCGGTATTACCTGGACGAGCGCAATAATTTCGACTATCAACATAAAGGGAGTAGCTGTCAGGACAAGTGCACTCGCTATCGACGCATTGGGAGCGAAGTAAATAATTAGGACAACCAGCGTCGTACGCACAGGTATAGATTATCACATTCTGGCAGTCTTCGTGAAAAATACAACTATCACTAAGGCTAGTAGCTAAAAGGTGGCATCTAAAGTTCTTCTCGTAGTGTCCTGGTGGGCATTGACAGGTGCCCCGGCATTCCGAGCCCTCGACGTAGCAATTATCATCCTTATCACAGGGATAGTCGATGAGCGAAAGGCAGTAGTGCGATTCAGGCCGGTAGTTGGGTAGGCAACGGCACTCGTTATTTAGACACTGCCTTACAGGATTTAAATCAGTTCCTATTCCTTTGTAGCAGTCTGAATCACCGGAGCAGATGGCATTGTTGAAGCCTACGCAAGCGCCGTTAATAGGATAGTACTTTGAACGACACTTGCAGCTCCCGCCATCACAGTAAGAGAACCTAGTTGTGCACTGCTCAGAAAAGTTGCAAGATTCGCCAAGATCTGGAAAAAAGACCGTTAAAAGATTGGAAAGAGATGACTTTGGTTAACTTACTTGAGCCAAGGATACACTCGTTGTTAAGAATTGTGAGGCCTTCAGGACAACGACAGATATCCTCAGAGCAAATAGAGTTGGTCACGTAGCAGTTTGATTTCGAGACACATCGGGCGCCAATAGGACCCTGGCAGACATTGTAATAAGGCTTGTAACCGGACTGACACTCGCAAGAGTGGGGGCCGCAAGTTGAATAAGGAATTAAACGACAGGATGCGTCACTATGGCATCGCGTAGATAAGTCTGAAAAAGATAAGATTGATCAGAAGTGGAAGGAGTGAGTTGGGTGAGAGAAAATTAACCTCTGACGTATAATAAGCATTGGAAGTTTGAGAGAAATCCATCATTGTAAGGGCATTTACAAAAACCAAAAGAACAGACAGAGGCAGAGCCATAGCAATCGGAGCTGTAACGGCAGGAAGCACCGACCATACCGACGCAAGAACCAGGGTCGCTCTCATGATAACCTGAAAGACACATGCAAGTACCTCTGAGACAATATGAGTGAGGAACTGACGCGCAGGCTTCGTGATGCTGGCAAGATCCATGGAGACCTAAAAGAATAGAGAAATGTTTTATCTACGTATGGTGACGGATGATTAATAATAAAAAAAATGCAATGAATAAACTGAATACTCACGAAAAGTTAAAGGATAGCATTTGACCTTGTAATTGTAGAAGCCAGTCTTGCATTCGCAAACAAAATTAGTCTTATTACAAGTTGCGTAATTAATGTTACGACATCCGTCGTCGTTCATGCACTGACCGTCTAACGACTGTGCCTTCGGGAGACATGATTTATTGTGCTTATAATGCGTTCTTTTGCATTCGCATTTATCAAGACGACATTCCATCGTTACTAGATCAGGGCACCCATTATTGTTCTTGCAGTTATCTCCAAGACTTTTTGCCTTAACGAAACATTGTTTCTGGTGAGGGTAGTAGTCAGTTCCACATTTGCAAGTCGACGTTGCTATATTACAAACAGCGTAATTAATTTTAAGACATCCGTCGTTGTTCATGCACTGACCGTCTAACGACTGTGCCTTTAAAAGGCATAATTTATTGTGCTTATAATGCGTTCTTTTGCATTTGCATTTATTGAGACGACATTTCATCGTTACTAGATCAGGGCACCCATTATGGTTCTTGCAGTTATCTCCAAGACTCTTTGCTTTAACGTGACATTGTTTCTGGTGAGGGTAGTAGTCAGTTCCACATTTGCAAGGCGACGTTCCTATATTACAAACAGCGTGATCAATATTGAGACATCCTTCGTCGTTCATGCACTGACCGTCTAACGACTCTGCCTTCGGGAGACATGATTTATTGTGCTTGTAATGCGTTTTTTTGCAATCGCATTTATCGAGACGACATTCCATCGTTACTAGATCAGGGCACCCATTATGGTTCTTGCAGTTATCTCCAAGACTCTTTGCTTTAACGTGACATTGTTTCTGGTGAGGGTAGTAGTCAGTTCCACATGTGCAAGTCGACGTTCCTATATTACAAACAGCGTGATCAATATTAAGACATCCTTCGTCGTTCATGCACTGACCGTCTAACGACTCTGCCTTAAAAAGGCATGATTTATTGTGCTTATAATGCGTTCTTCTGCATTCGCATTTATCGAGACGACATTCCATCGTTACTAGATCAGGGCACCCATTATGGTTCTTGCAGTTATCTCCAAGACTCTTTGCTTTAACGTGACATTGTTTCTGGTGAGGGTAGTAGTCAGTTCCACATGTGCAAGTCGACGTTCCTATATTACAAACAGCGTGATCAATATTAAGACATCCTTCGTCGTTCATGCACTGACCGTCTAACGACTCTGCCTTAAAAAGGCATGATTTATTGTGCTTATAATGCGTTCTTCTGCATTCGCATTTATCGAGACGACATTCCATCGTTACTAGATCAGGGCACCCATTATGGTTCTTGCAGTTATCTCCAAGACTCTTTGCTTTAACGTGACATTGTTTCTGGTGAGGGTAGTAGTCAGTTCCACATGTGCAAGTCGACGTTCCTATATTACAAACAGCGTGATCAATATTGAGACATCCTTCGTCGTTCATGCACTGACCGTCTAACGACTCTGCCTTAAAAAGGCATGATTTATTGTGCTTATAATGCGTTCTTCTGCATTCGCATTTATCGAGACGACATTCCATCGTTACTAGATCAGGGCACCCATTATGGTTCTTGCAGTTATCTCCAAGACTCTTTGCTTTAACGTGACATTGTTTCTGGTGAGGGTAGTAGTCAGTTCCACATGTGCAAGTCGACGTTCCTATATTACAAACAGCGTGATCAATATTAAGACATCCTTCGTCGTTCATGCACTGACCGTCTAACGACTCTGCCTTAAAAAGGCATGATTTATTGTGCTTATAATGCGTTCTTCTGCATTCGCATTTATCGAGACGACATTCCATCGTTACTAGATCAGGGCACCCATTATGGTTCTTGCAGTTATCTCCAAGACTCTTTGCTTTAACGTGACATTGTTTCTGGTGAGGGTAGTAGTCAGTTCCACATGTGCAAGTCGACGTTCCTATATTACAAACAGCGTGATCAATATTAAGACATCCTTCGTCGTTCATGCACTGACCGTCTAACGACTCTGCCTTAAAAAGGCATGATTTATTGTGCTTATAATGCGTTCTTCTGCATTCGCATTTATCGAGACGACATTCCATCGTTACTAGATCAGGGCACCCATTATGGTTCTTGCAGTTATCTCCAAGACTCTTTGCTTTAACGTGACATTGTTTCTGGTGAGGGTAGTAGTCAGTTCCACATGTGCAAGTCGACGTTCCTATATTACAAACAGCGTGATCAATATTGAGACATCCTTCGTCGTTCATGCACTGACCGTCTAACGACTCTGCCTTAAAAAGGCATGATTTATTGTGCTTATAATGCGTTCTTCTGCATTCGCATTTATCGAGACGACATTCCATCGTTACTAGATCAGGGCACCCATTATGGTTCTTGCAGTTATCTCCAAGACTCTTTGCTTTAACGTGACATTGTTTCTGGTGAGGGTAGTAGTCAGTTCCACATGTGCAAGTCGACGTTCCTATATTACAAACAGCGTGATCAATATTAAGACATCCTTCGTCGTTCATGCACTGACCGTCTAACGACTCTGCCTTAAAAAGGCATGATTTATTGTGCTTATAATGCGTTCTTCTGCATTCGCATTTATCGAGACGACATTCCATCGTTACTAGATCAGGGCACCCATTATGGTTCTTGCAGTTATCTCCAAGACTCTTTGCTTTAACGTGACATTGTTTCTGGTGAGGGTAGTAGTCAGTTCCACATGTGCAAGTCGACGTTCCTATATTACAAACAGCGTGATCAATATTAAGACATCCTTCGTCGTTCATGCACTGACCGTCTAACGACTCTGCCTTAAAAAGGCATGATTTATTGTGCTTATAATGCGTTCTTCTGCATTCGCATTTATCGAGACGACATTCCATCGTTACTAGATCAGGGCACCCATTATGGTTCTTGCAGTTATCTCCAAGACTCTTTGCTTTAACGTGACATTGTTTCTGGTGAGGGTAGTAGTCAGTTCCACATGTGCAAGTCGACGTTCCTATATTACAAACAGCGTGATCAATATTGAGACATCCTTCGTCGTTCATGCACTGACCGTCTAACGACTCTGCCTTAAAAAGGCATGATTTATTGTGCTTATAATGCGTTCTTCTGCATTCGCATTTATCGAGACGACATTCCATCGTTACTAGATCAGGGCACCCATTATGGTTCTTGCAGTTATCTCCAAGACTCTTTGCTTTAACGTGACATTGTTTCTGGTGAGGGTAGTAGTCAGTTCCACATGTGCAAGTCGACGTTCCTATATTACAAACAGCGTGATCAATATTGAGACATCCTTCGTCGTTCATGCACTGACCGTCTAACGACTCTGCCTTTAAAAGGCATGATTTATTGTGCTTATAATGCGTTCTTTTGCATTCGCATTTATCAAGACGACATTCCATCGTTACTAGGTCAGGGCACCCTTTATTGTTCTTGCAGTTATCTCCAAGACTCTTTGCTTTTACGAAACATTGGTTTTCGTGATCGTAATAGTTAATTTGGCATTTGCAAAAACCGTTGGTACAATTGGAGTTATCTATTTCTCGACAACCTTTCCAGCTTTTGCATTCTCCTCCAATTGTTGTAACTTCTTCGAAGCACTCTTTTCCGAATGAATACCATTTAGTAGGACAATTGCATAATTTTTCAATACATTTTGTATTATTCATCTTTTCGCAGTTTTCATCAACCTTGCAGTCATCTCCAATATCTGCAATATATCCCAATTCCTTCTTTTTAACTTGGTTCTTTATTACATTTCTATTTTTCAATACGTACCCTCTGCATACTTGTAGCACAGTCCTTCCCAATTGTAGAAGTTTTTCTTGCACTTACATATTTCACTTAGACATCCTGCGTTGTCAATTTTCGTGCAGCCTGCGTCATTCTTACAATCTCCTCCCAAACCTTTCATCAACCAACCCATCAGTAATTTATCCGTTTCTTTTATAATCTAAGATCATCTTACCTTTCGCTTTTTTGTAGCATTTGCCTTCTGCTGGGTAGTAGCTCTTCTCCTTGCACTTGCAAGTCTTGGACGTCATATTGCACTTGCTTCCAGTAATCTTGCGACATCCAATACTGTCTTCGCATGTGTCCGTCAAATCTAAAAAATTCTTCATAATTCTCATGATCCTAATCAGTGACTCTTCTCTACTTACTATTTGCGAACTTGGCACATCCCTCGTTCCACCGGTAATGGTTGGGCTTGCATTGGCACTTGTTCTCTGTGTACCCTTCTTGCTTTGGAGAGAAGCTCATCTTGGTGACGTTAACTTGCTGACAAATGGCATTTTCGATTGCATCGCACTCATCGCCTTTGCAGCTGTCACCAATTCCTTCAAGGACCAATCATGTCAATCATCATTAATTACTTCAAGTAATTAATTCATCTCGCATCTGTGTACTTACTCTTATTTTTGTTTTCACAGAAGGTCTTGTCTTTTGCCGGTTTCAGTCCCTCATTGCACGTGCAGACTTCATTGCAGTAGGTGTTGGCTATCGGACAATCATCGTCTGTTTTGCAGTTGCCTTCAATCAGCGGCACGCACTTATGATTATCCTCAACATAATTAGGCAAACATCCGTCGGTTGATCCGCCAGCAATATTACCCAGTAGGATGATCAACGATAGACATACAATCATAATTTTTGAGCAGAATCTTCAAATTAGGACACGTATTCACTTTCCTAGTTCTTGATGCTAAATAAGCCAAGTCAAACTTTTTAAAACGCAGGTTCTAGATATCTTCAGGCTATTAAAGTTTAGTTTTATGACTTCTGACAGTGAGTCAGATGAGATAGTCTTTTTACTGTCCACGACAGCGAAGTTTGCTTGACCTTCATTGATATTTTGCGGTTTAAAAATCATTGAATAAAATTTTTTTTCCAATATATTTTAAATTATTTATTTGTTAAATAAATTCTAGTCAGAAAAGATGAATGTTAGAAATTAAAGCCATGATGTGGAGTCTCTTTGATGCAGCTTAGATAAATTTGGGTGGTATTTTTTGGGGAAGATTATAGGAAACATCCAATAAATTATTCTCTAGTAGAAAATTTTTTATTAAATAATTGCTAAGTTAAAAAATGAAAAAAATTAATTAATAGATTATACAATTTATTTTTTTATTTTTTTAAATACAATATTCGTGACAGACTTCCCTACTTTCCCCCCAAACTGAATTCCAGGAGTCTCAAGAACCTCTCGAACCTCAAACGCGCTAAAATGATGCACCAGCTCGTCCTTGGTCCAGTTGCAAGATGAGATGACCAAGAACCCGGAGTCCATCAGCAGGCTCCCGACATTCTTGATGTACTTCTGCCTCTGTTGGTGCCGGTTTTCCGGGTTCAGACTTATCGCGTCGTAGGTGCCCTTGTCGTGGACCAATTTGAAGCTCCCGGGCCTCAGAAAGTCCTCAGATTGCTCCGGGTTGCTCATATCCGCCAAGATATCGCACACTTCGATTCTTATTGAGTCCTTACAGATTTTCTGCTCCTCTAGAATTGTCCTTGCCAGCTCGACTGCTTTTGGTGAGTAGTCGACGCCCAGGAGATTATTGTACCCGTTCTCATGGAGTTTTATCAGTGTCCAGCCGTTTCCGCAGCCGAGGTCTATTATTGGGTCTGATTTTGATATGTTTAGGTTTTCGATACACCTGAAATTTAAGAAAAATTAATAAATAATAATAATAATAATAATAATAATAATAATAATAATAATAATAATAAATATCATTGAAATTAAGAAATTACGTATCTTGTGAACTATTGAAATTTTTTAAGATATAAGCTCATTCTGACATTACCATTCAACAATTTTGGTATAGAATTGGCGGGAAGTTGCAGGGATGGCCTTCAGGGTCAACCGTTTTCCTTTTTTTTTTTTTTTATTATTTAACATCTAAATTAATGATTATAAAATTGAAATAAAAAAATTCTATGTTTAACCCTTCAGTACCCACGTTCTTTTTAGTGTGTCACTTGCACTGCAGAAAAATTCTCATAGCGAGAGTACTGAAGGGTTAAAAGATAAAAAGTACAAATGTATTTTCAAGTATTTATTTTTTATAATTGTTTTTAAATAAATAATACATTAACCTGTAATTAATAATAAATGTCAGTGTGAATATATTAAATAAAATATTATTTTTAATAAATTACGTGTTTTAAATTTTCCAGTTTTTAATCTTTAATTATTCGTATTAAAAATTAATTGTTTATTGAAAAAACTAGGGCAATGGATGCGCGGGGGTTTGTTTTTTCTAAATATATTCGCGATCGCTAAATTGATATTTAAAAAAAATAAACACGTGTTGTAATATTTAATTAATAATAATTTAGTTCTTAATCCTTAATTATTTGTAATAAAAATGAATTTTTTATCAAAAAAACTAGATCATTTGGTGCGCGGTGATTGGTTCTTACTCTAAGTATATTCGCGATCGCTAACCCCGTTGAATCCATAAAAAACTTTATAAAAATCATCAAGTGAAAAAGTCATGTAAGGGACACTAGGGTGGGGGTAGAGTGGGGGTACCTGAAAAGTTGATATACCGAGGGGCAGCTACCCTGAGGAGCTTAGTTCAGGGTGGGGGTTTGAGTGGGGAGTTGGAGTGGGGGTATTTGAAAAGTGTATATAAAGAGGGGCCTCTACCCTGAGGAGCACAGTTCCCGGTCGGCGGCCAAGGGTGCACATCGCGCAATGATGTTGTAAACTTTGCCGGTCGTCCAAATTACTCTCTCGATTAATTTCTATTCGTGGTTCGCGTATACTAGAGTTGTTTTTTAGTATACTGTGTTTAGTGTAGAGTCATAGTGTTTCTTGTACTTAAAAGTTTTAACGTAGAGTTATATTCGTGATAGTTCTCAGTGTCTTCATTAAACCCCCATCATTCTGTCAAATTGATTCGCGTTGTTTTTGATTTTTAAACTTGTAAATTAAATTCAGTGTTATTCTCGTCCAATTTAAATTAAATTCACGCGCATACACACACACACACACAAACACACATTGTACCTAACACCTTACCCACTCTTAACTGATTCTGTTCTAATTATTGTTTCGCGATCGGTTTCTATTTAGATTTTAGAGTCATTAGTATACAAAATTAGCTTCAACCCTCACACACACACACACACACACACACACACACACACACACACACACACACACACACTTCCGGCTTTTCCTAGGAGAGTACTCTTACACACTCTTCTAGGAGAGTTCACTCTCTTCGTTTGCTTAAATTAGATTCACGCATCGTATCGTCTAGGGTAAACAATCAGTTCGGTGGTTTTTTTCCGTGTAATTCAATTAAATTAATTCAACGAGAAGTTAGCGTAGAGTCAGTCGTCTCGGTAAATTTTTACAAGGCGTGAAGTATCGTTACTTGATGATGGTGCGCAACATCATCTTGTATATAAGATCTTCCCGGGAAAGCAAATTAATCCTGATCCTAGCGAATTAATTAGGAATTAATCATGTTCACCCCTTGAGTGCCCGGGCGCGATTTGGGTGACGGTTTAATCCCTTTTTAATTTTCTCTGATCAATTCTTTTGGTTTCCAAGTCTTAAAATTTATCGAACGGCATTATTAAAATTAAATAAAAAGTAAAGTAAATTTGTTGCTAACTTACCCGTTTTTCCTCGCGATTAATATTTCATACAATGATATTAGTATACCATCGAGCTGATTTCGCGGTTCGTGTTCTTTCTATCGCGGTCTTAACTTCATTTCCACACACACACACACACACACACACACACACATACACACACTTACCACCCCCCTTACCACCCTTATTTGTCATTCATTAATAAAATAATAAAGTAGAGTTAATTGATATTTCGGGAGCCGATCGTGCCTACTAGAGTCACTTCTTTTCTTCTTCCTTACCCTTGTCGTGAGAGCTAACTCAGACAAAACCACCCCTTACACTTCAATACACTGGTTACCATCGTTATTAATAATTAATTAATTGATAATGAATAAATCATTAAATAAATTAGAGTTACGTGCGTAGGCACATACAATCGACTCGCAAAAGTATTTAGAACTAATTTTTGCGGTCGATTCGTTGCCTTGTTTATAATTTTTATTCTTTCTATTGTAGTATTGTGAATCAATTTGACATTCATCATCAACCTCATTATTTGACACTGAGAATCACTGCGAATTTTTTAATTAGATCGCTTTCGTTATTATCAATTTGTTAAAAAAAATAATTAGTTTAAAATCGAGATGAGGGTAAAAATGGGAGCTGTTAATGAGTGTTTTAGTGTGTTTATACAGGTAGCCAAAGGATTTAACAAGGAGCCAAAGGATTCAATCAAGGAGCAAAAGGATTCACCAAGGAATGAAATAATTCATCCAAGGACAAAATGTAAGAATTACTCAAGAAAAATTAGTGTTTTAAAATAGTGATTAAAACATGTAACTTATTAGTGTGGTTCTGTGTCTTGTTCAGATGGAGGGACCAAGGATTAAGGACCAGGATTCAAGGACCAAGGACTAAGGACCAAGGATTAAAGAATTAGGAAATTCAAGAATTCAGCCAAGGACCAGGAAGTGATCCCCTGAGGGATTCAAGGATTCAAGAATTCAAGAGGAAATTCAAGGAAAGGACTAACCAAAGGATCAAGGAGACAAGGAAGAATCAAGGAACAAAAGGATCAATCAAGGTACCAAACTCAAAGGAGGACCAGGGACAACAGGACACGTGAGCCAGACCGTAAGTACATAAATGCATATGATTATTGTTATTTTTAATTGCCCTAACTTTCTATTGTTAACCCAAATATTGTTCATATATTTAATAATTATTTCAGCTTCCCAAATTTACTCCCTCCCCAATTGATATTATGTAATTTTAATCTATTTTTCAGCTACCCTCCATTCATTAAACCCCAATAATATTAATAATAATAATAATAATAATAATAATAATAATAATAATAATAATAATAATTCTTTCACTTTTCAGCATCCCGATATTTTTTATTCCCCAATAATTTTAATAATAATAATAATTTCATTTTACTTTTCAGCTCTCCCATATTTTGTAATCCCTAATCCCCAATAATATTATATTGATAATAATTTAATTTCATTTTTCAGCTACCCCATTATTTTAATCCCCAATAATATAATTAATAATAATAATTTTATTTACTTTTCAGCATCTCTATATTTTTAATTCCCAATAATATTATTAATGATAATTTTATTACATTTTTCAGCACCCCTAATTCTAAATTCCCCAATAATATTAATAATAGTAATGTTTTTTTAATTTTTCAGCACCCCTACATTTTTTAATCCTCAATAATATTAATAATAATAACAATAATTTCATTTCACTGTTCAGCTCTCCCTATTTTAAAATCCCCAATAATATTAATAATAATAATTTTTCTTTCACTTTTCAGCACCCCTATATTATTGAATCCCTAATAATATTATTAATAATAATAATTTCATTTTCTTTTTTAGCATCCCCATTATTTTAATAACAATGATTTTATTCTGCTTTTCAGCTCCCCCTATTTTAGAATCCCCAATAATATTATATTGATAATAATTTAATTTCATTTTTCAGCACCCCGATACTATTTAATCCCCAATAATATAATTAATAATAATAATTTCATTTACTTTTCAGCATCTCTATATTTTTAATTCCCAATAATATTATTAATGATAATTTTATTACATTTTTCAGCACCCCTAATTCTAAATTCCCCAATAATATTAATAATAGTAATGTTTTTTTAATTTTTCAGCACCTCTACGTTTTTTTTAATCCTCAATAATATTAATAATAATAACAATAATTTCATTTCACTTTTCAGGACCTCTATATTGTTTAATCCTCAATAATATTATTAATAATAATAATTTAATTCTCATTTCTAGCACCCCGATTATTTTAACCCCTAATAATATTAATAATAATTTATTTATGTAATTTTTCAGCACCCCTATTTTTCATTATCCCAATAGTATTAATAATAATAATTAAAATTTTTCAGCACCCCCATTTTAATTGATCCCCAATAAAATTTATTATAATAATTATTATTATTGTTTATTTCAGCTTCTTTATATTTAAATACCTTTCAATAATATTCATAACATTTATTTTCTTTATTGCATCATTTTTATGCTTATTTACTCTCAATATTATTAATTTTTATTTTTTTCTGTTTTAGCGCCCCTGTACATTCATTTACTTCCATTCTTTTAATATTAATAATAATAAAAAATTTTATAAATACATAAAATTGTATATCGTGTGATTGTATGAGTGTGAAGATTATTCTTACGTGTGATATGTATGATGTATGTTATTTTTGAGCCACTTTAAAAAGCGGTTTAATTATGTAAGCTGTGTCGGCCGGGTTTCCCTGGGGTTTCCTAAAAGTTTGGCTTTAAAAAGCCAAACGAAGGCCGGTGAAATTAATATCGTTACCGGTTAACGATATTAATTGCAGGTAAATGCGCACAGTTGCGTCCCCAGTCGCGTAATTTTTTTTTTTTTATTCAATAAAGCGAATCATTTCGCCCTAACGAATAAAATTCTGCCTTATTATTTAACTGATTCCTTTCCCTTTAGTTTTAATTAGATCGTAATTAGCTTTAAGTAAATTATAATTAGATTTAAGACGGATTGATTCCATGTCCTGCTGCAGTTCACGGGTTTCTAAGGTAATTATATCTCATCTATTTAATAATTATTAAAAAAAAATCTAAAATAAGCGCAATAGTCGAGTCACTAAAATTTTATCTCCAAAGAATTAATAGTTTTCTACAGCAGTCACGTAGTGACTGCAAGGTTGCTAATAATAATATAACAAATTCAAAAAACATGAAAATTAAAAAAATTAATTAATAAATTACAATTAAAAAAAAATTTTTTTAAATATATATTTTAGAATATAATAATAATAATAATAATAATAATAATAATAATAATAATAATAATAACTTACTTAATCAATTTAACAGCGTTGTTTTTCCCAAACCAAATTTCTCCAACATCACCATACTCCTCAAAATTATTTATTTCTTCATCATAAATCTTTTCCCAGCTTAAAAAAAACAAATAAATTAATTAATTCAAACTCTCTAATTTCTAACCTTAATAAATTCACACAATAATAATTAACTCTAAAAATTAAAATAAATAAATTTATACCAAAAAAAAACTTACTGTTCTAACGTCCCTAATTCTGAACCATTAAGTTCTTCAGTGTCAGACATATTTATTTATTTTATTAATGATTTCTAATTTATTATTTTATTATTTTATTATTCTAACAAGTTTCTGTTGTCAATTTTATTTTGACCACGTGCTTGCGCACTATATATATATTATATTTAATATATACCTACGGAGGGTAAGACAGGTCTCTGAAAATATAGAGCCCTGCAGAACCTTCTAAAGGTAAGTTAACTAAAATTTCTACATTATCACTCTGTTGATAAATTAAAAAAAAAAGGAATTTTATTTACCAATTATCGATCTTTTTTTTTTCTCTTAAAAAATAAATAAAATAAATTTAAAATTATATAATAAGTTATTTTTAAATAAAATTATATAATAATTAATTTTTAAAATTTTTTATATCAAATAAAAAAATGTATAAAAATTAATTTAATAATTTTTTTAATAAAAAAATAATTGCAAAAAAAATTAAAAAAAGGAATTTGACATAAATATAAATAAAAATCTCGACTTACTCAAGTAAATATTTCTAATTGATAAATAAATGTGAATGTCGCGTGGTAATACAAGCTTATCTTAAATAACCGCTGGTACAAGCAAAAAAAAAAAAAGAAATAATTAAATTCTAATTAAGGCATTCCACGGTCATTTAGCGATAACGCAACGTACTGGCCAGCATGTTTATTCAGATAAAGGCTAATGCACTCAATTTGTAGGCAATATTACGTATGTAATGCTTGTCAGCAGATAATCCCTGATTTTTTATATACTAACCGCAGTGTCCTATTCCCTGGCGCGAGTTTTCGCGGATCTGGAGGGGGCCCCCCTCTTTAGCTGGTAAAAAGTAGGGGCTGGAGGAAAGTAGGAGGCTTAGTATATATGAGCAAGAGGATTTTATTCGGTCTTTTGTGTGTAGGTTCGGGACCCTTATCACTTTCTTTCTCTTAATCTTTATCTGGGTTTGTTGTTTTTTTCGTACACGTGCCATAAAATACAAGTGGAATTTTAATAAGAGCCCACCATTGTAGCTTGTTTCCCACAGATGTAATGTCTCAGACAACAGAATTTTTTTTTTTTTTTTTTTTTTTTTTTTTTACTTGCTTCAGGGGGAAATAAAATAAAATTGAATTAAAAATATTAGAAAAAATAATATTCAGAGTTTTAAATTGAGATAACTTGATAACTATTAGTGTTATCAAAATTTAATAAAACAAAATTTGTAGAAAATTAAATTTTCTTTCTATTACAGTTATAATAAATAGAGTTATCATGATAATTGAATGAGTTATCGCGAATATTGTAGAAAAACTCGCATTTTAGCCTTTTTTTTTTGTTTTTTACATTAGGTTAATTATAAAAGTCGTGATAACTTGATAACTATTGGTCCTAGAAAAATTTTATGAGATAATAATTGTAGCCAGTTATATTTCCTTCCGATAATTACTAAAAATTGTGGAGTTATCACGATAACTAGGTGAGTTATCGTGAAAATTGAAGAAAAACTCGAATTTTTCCGGTTTTTTGCATTTGGTTACTTACAAAAGTGATGATAACTTGATAACTATTGGTCTTAGAGAAATTTTATAAAACAATTATTCTAGCCAATTAAATTTCCTTTGGATAACGGCCGTTTTGGTCAAGTTATCATGATAACTAAGCGGGTTATCGCGAAAATTAGAGAAAAACTGACATTTTCGCGGTTTTTGACATTAGGTTACTTATAAAAGTGCCGATAACTTGGTAACTATTGGTCCTGGAGAAATTTTATAAGAGAATACTTGTAGCTAATGAAATTTCCTTTAGATAACTGCTATTTAAATGGCAGTTATCGTGATAACTATCCGAGCTATCGCAAAAATTGGAGAAAAACTGCAATTTTTGCGGTTTTTTACATTTCGCTTCTTATAAAATTAGCGATAACTCGATAACTATTACTATTATCAAAATTTAATGAGACAATAATTGTAGCCAGTTAAATTTTCTTTGGATAATTGCCATTTTAATGGAGTTATCATGATAATTGAGCGAGTTATCGCGAAAATTTGAGAAAAACTGGCATTTTAGCCATTTTTTGCATTTTTCCACTTATAAAAATACCGATAACTCGATAACTATTGGTGTTATTAAGATTAAATGAGAAAATAATTGTAGCCAATGAAATTCCCTTTGAATAACTGCTGATTTAAAAGAGTTATCATGACAATTGAGCGAGTTATCGCCAAAATTTGAGAAAAACTGGCATTTTAGCAGTTTTTTACATTTTTCCACTTAAAAAATTGCTGATAACTCGATAACTATGTGTATTATCAAAACTTAATGAGATAATAATTGTAGCCAGTTAAATTTCCTTCGGATAACTGCTATTTGAATGGAGTTATCGTGATAATTAGTTGAGTTATCACTAAAATTCGAGAAAAACTGGCATTTTAGCGGTTTTTTACATATTTTCACTCAATAAAATGCCGATAACTCGATAACTATTAGTGTTATCAAAATCTAATGAGATAAAAATTGTAGGAAATTAAATTTCCTTTCTACTTATGCTATATTTAATTGGGTTATCACGATAATTAAACAAGTTATCGCGAAAATCGCAGAAAAACTGGCATTTTTCGAATTTTTCACATCCTACTACTTTAATAAAAGTAACCATATAAATTCCAAAAAATTTCTCCGAATAATTGAACAATTGAACAATACTCTCTCGAGTCTTTGAAGCAGTATTCTATCCGGAACAATAGTTATTTATGTTTACAGAGAATCCCGGGGTTGTAACATAAATAGAACGATAATGTAGTTAGAATCACCGCGGGGATTATATTTACACGGTTGATAAATATATAGAAGAGGGATTTAACATTATTGAGAAATTGGGCAGCTCTACAACAAACATTTACTCACTGAAGTACCGTAACAGTAAACATACTTCACTATATAAATTAATCCATCTTCGAAAAAAAAATATCGACAGAGACATCAAAGTTTATTTTAAATTTTGTAACGGGCTTACGATTAATGAAAAGAAATAATTTTTTTAAATTTAACGGACCTACTTACAATAAAAAAGATAAATAAAACCTCCCGGTGTTTTCGATTTATATTGTGACAATAACACCGGAAGTTTAAAAAATTTCCACTTACCTTTAAATTAAAAGAGGAAAAGGAATAAAAAAAAAAAAATAACAATAATTAGCAGTGTATGAGCGTGTATTTGACAGTGTTTGTTTTTTGTATATTTAATTTAAATTAAATTTTTATTAATTAAATCATAAATTTTTTTTTTTATAAATTCATAGCGGCACACAATTTACCATTATTATAATATTATAATTTTTGTTATTATATAATTATTATTATTATTATTATAAATAATTTTTATTAATATTTTGGAATGTATATTTGTTAATTTTATTTATTATTGCTAGTTTTAGACGCACTGCAATTTTAACAATAAATATAATTATAAAAATGATAAAATAAATAGTCAAAATATCTCTAAGTCACTGGCCGATTTAAAATAAATAGTATATTTTATTTTATTGTCAATAAGCAGTGCGTCCATTAACAAACATTAAATAAAACATCAATAAAAAGCTTTGTTTACAATTTTTATATCGTGCCGTATCTTACATTTTTGTTATTTTTTAATAATAATTTATAATTATTGTGTACTCTATCTAGTCAGATTCTTAGTTCACGGTCAAAAAGTAAAAAATTCATATTTCTACTTGCGCTATCTCCCACTCCGTACACATTGGCGCCATCTTAAGGGCATAGATCGTTAGGAAATTTCAAGCCCTATAATTAATTCTTCAGACCAAATTGATATCTCGGCCCGTTTTTTAAATATCGACACTTTTTTGATCGTCAGTACACCATTTAGCGTGTGCGTATTTTGACCCATTTTAAAACCAGCGATATCTCGAAGGGAATTCGAGATATCGATTAGGACCCAAAACATTATTTTTAGGAAATTTCAAGTCCTACAACTTTGGTTCTTTGACCCTAATCGATATCTCGATCCGTTTCGGAGATATCGCCATTTTTATAAAAGTCCTCAAAGCTAAGCGTATTTTGGGTGACCATAAACAAATGCTCGATATCTTTTAAACGGTTTGAGATATCGATTCCGGCCAAAGGACCAAAATTGTAGAGGACCTAATTTCCTATCGACCTATGCCCTTAAAAAAATTTTACTGGTGTTCAATTACAAGATAATTGTCAAACTATAAATCGTGAACAAATTTTCAGGCCTCTTGAGATTATAGTTAAATATTTTCAATATATATATTTATTAATTAGTTAATATATATTTATTTATTTAATACAAAGACCCAGATCTTTTTTGGAAAAGAAATAACCGGGTTACATACAAAAAATCAGTTTATTTTAATATATATTTTTTTTCCGCGTAATATGGCATTACAAGTACATTAGTTGTCCGTTATTAAATTATAAGCGTCCAATTTATTTTTTTTTTATAACTATATTTATTTATTATTAATCAGTTAGTATTTACTATTTTTTTTTTTTAATTATTTCTCACTACAGCATACATGTTACATCGCGAAGCCCAGTCGTATTTTTTTTGTTTTTTTATTTTTTCAGAAAAATCTGGAATTTAAAATTTTTTATTCAAAAAAAATTTTTTTTGACCAGATAAAAAAAATCGATTTTTCGTTGAGTCGCCACCTAACACTAAAATCTAGTAATACAGTCTGCATTAGCAATTATTTTATTACTTCAACTTCATTACAATAATAATAATTAATAATAACAATAATAATAATAATAATAATAATAATAATAATAATAATAATAATAATAATAATAATAATAATAATAATAATAATAATAATAATAATAATAGTAATAAATTTAATTACTAAAAATATATAATGGTAATTAATAATTATTTAGATATAAGAAATTAATTAAAAATATTAATTATTAATTAACTAATTAATATTTTACACACAATCGTACGACAAGTCACTCACATCATTTTAAATGACAGCACATCCGTAAATACAACAAAATAACAAAATACTTTGGGGTTTAATAAGAGTTTTTTTTTAATATAAAATTCAAATTTCCCGCCTTTAAGTCAAAGCCCGCCATTTTGTTGACAATAAATATTTTTTATTAATAAGGGCAATTTAAAATTACTTAGTCGCAGAAATTTTAGTGAAAATAATGTTTGTGATGTTTTAAAGAGATTATTTTGAAGTTTTGACTTATGGCCGCCATTTTGTGTGAGTTAAAAGCCACCATTTTGTTGTTAAAGAACGATTTTATTAAAATTTAGTAGATTTCTACGGTTTTTGCCGCCATTTTGTGTTTAAATCAACGCCATATTGTTGAAAAAGAAAATTCTCATGATTCCAAGCCGCCATTTTGTGTTACCAAGGCCGCCATTTCGTGTATAAACACAAGATCTTTAATTTAACCGAATTTTGACATCTCAGCGGCCATTTTAGGTTCAATCGACGCGATTTTGTCTACAAAAATTTCTTGGCCGCCATTTCGCGTCACTTTTAAGCCGCCATTTTGATTAAAGACTCTAAAAATTAAATTAAACCGTATTTTAACTCCCTGGCGGCCATTTGAACTTCCTATCGACGCCATTTTGTCGTCTTAAGCATCAAAAGTTATTTTAACCGAAAAAAAGGCGGGAAAAAACTCTTATTAAATAAAAATACACGCTCAGTTCTTCTCACCACTCATGATAACACCCTAAAGAAAGCCTACGGCGTAAATGACATATAAAAAATGAAATTTAGCGTGTGAAACCGGCACTTCGGACATAAAAAAAAGAGGCAGTCTTGATATTTACTAACAATAATTACAACTAATAATAATTATAATTAATAATAAAAAAGGTAAACTAACAGAATCTAATACTTGCTCGCGGGCAGACGGTGGCGCCTAGTCCGCGTATCTCCAGACTTTCCCTTCCCGCGACTCGTATGTCGATGACGGTGGGGCTCCTGGAGGTGGTTTTTCCTCGACTGTCGCGCCATCTCCAGCTCGGAGTTCCTCTGGTACGTAATAACATCCCTTTCCAAAAGAAGTTTCTTTTTTTTCAAAGAAAACTCCGGCTCGAGAAATTGCGGAGGTCGCAAAAATTCATCTGGATTTTTTTCAAATAAATCCAGAGGGCGTGACATGTCACGCTGCGGCGGATCCGAGACATCCAAGTCTTGTTTCGACTCGAAATTAGAATTTAAATTTTGCCTACGCGGGGACTTTTTAGTCTTTTTTACCCGCAGTGGCTCTTTGTGCGCGTGCTCAGGGTGAGGATGAGGGTGGGGGGGCTTGTGAAGTTCGCGCACGCGTGTATTTCCAGTCATCCAATCGTTGTGGTCGTTTATACTGAAGCTCGGGTTGTACTTCATGAAATTGTAGCACTCTGGCCGCGCACGCTGCCCCTTTATTGGTCGACCGTACTTGTTGAACCCCAGGTACTTCGTAGGGTCCACAGCGCTGCGGTACCGCAGGTAAGGCCCGTTGTAGGTCTCGTAGAATTGACACATTGCATCACGTTGTTTTTTAGGCTGCAAAATAAACAAAATATTAATTTTTTTAATAGTGGTCACCCGAAATACGCACAACTTTTTGGACCACCACAAAAATGGCGATATCTCGAGAACGGTTCGAGATATCGATCAGGATCAAGATATCAAAGTTGTAGGGCTTAAAATTCCCTAAAAATAATCATTTGGGTCCGAATAGATATCTTGAATTCCCTTCGAGATATCGCAAGTTTTGTAATGGGTGAAAATACGCACGCGTTAAATAGTGTTCAGACCATTCAAAAAGTGTCAATATTTAAAAAACGACGCGAGATATCGTTAGATTAAGGCCAGTAAATTGTAAAATAGAAGGATACTTACCAAAGCAATGGGTTTCCAGCGTTTATTGAAGCAAATAAACCGTTGAGATTTTTCAGCGAAGATATACAACTTCCTACTAAAGTCGTCTGATTGCGTCGTGAGTTTTTCTGCAACAAACAGGACATTTAATCAATAAAAAGAAGAAAAAAAAGGATAATTTTAGCGAGTGTTTTTAGGCCAGGAATTCGGTAAATATTAAATATTAATATATTTTGACCCGGAAGTGTCCGTTAGCTAGCTAGCCGTGGTAATAAGTGCGAATGGTGTGTTGCCAGTGATTCTGAGAAAACGATATTATATTTTATGGCGTTCGAGGATAAAAGTTTTAAGTACGAGCAGACACTGGCACTTGTACTATACCTGGGTTTTATTCTTACTACCATGTGCTAATGAAGGAGACACTGGGACTGTGTACTTAACTATTTAACACTCATCTCAAGACCTTTTTACTCTCTCATTTTTAGCTCCGGCTTTTTAGTCAAGTGTCCTACACTACTATTTTTGAGGTACGGTTCATAGAAATTTATCTTTGTTCCTTTGATAGAGTCAGTAATAATTTTATTTTTACATTTTTTAATTTTTCATTTTTACTTCTAATCACTATTATAATTAAGAAACTATTCGACCCAGAGAGATTTTATAAGATAAAAATTATAGAAAATTAAATTTCCTTTCTAATACATTTATAATAAATGGAGTTATCACGATAATTGAGCGAGTTATCACGAAAATTGGAAGAAAACTGGAATTTTAGCTGTTTTTTGCAATTTTTCACTTATAAAAATGCAGATAACTCGATAACTATTAGTGTTATCAAAACTTAATAAGTTCCAAATTGTAACTAATTAAATTTCATTCTAATATTTGCTTTAGATAATAAGGTTATCACGATAATTCAGTGCGTTATCACAAAAATTAGAGAAAAACTGGCATTTTTGCCTTTTTTCACTTATAAAAGTGCCTATAACTCGATAGCTATTAGTGTTATCAAAATTTAATAGGAAAAAATTTGTAGAAAACAAAATTTTCTTTCTAATAGTACCAAAATAATGAAATTATCATGATAATTAGCGGAGTTATCGCTAAAATTAAAGAAAAAATTGTATTTTAGTAGTTTTTTTCAATTTTTCACTTATAAAAATGCCGATAACTCGATAACTATTAGTGTTATCAATATTTAATGAATCAAAAATTGTAGTAAATTCAATTTCCTTCCAATATTTGCTTTAGATAACAAAGTTATCACGATAATTCAGCGAGTTATCGTGAAAATTAAAGAAAAACTGGCATTTTAGTGGTTTTTTGCATGTTTTAATTTGTAAAAGTGCCGATAACTCAATAACTATTAGTGTTATCACAATTTAATGAGTCAAAAATTGTAGTTAATTAAATTTTCTTTTAACCCATGTTAAAAAAAATTCAATTATTTAGAAAATAATACGAATAATTGCAAAACCAAAGTAAAAAGTCGGAATTCCTGGAATGAAAATGCAAAATAAATTAACCAGAAAGTTAAAACCGACAGGCTGAAATGTATGACGCGATAATCACCGCTCGCAACAGACTAGATTAATTAAATTTCATCATATACAGGATAATTTTTCCTGACCGATATCAAAGTATAAAGCATGACGTTTTACCTTCAGTCGGTAACTCAATTAAAAAAAGGTTAGCTTCTGATTGATTGCAATAATCCAAGAGGATAACCTCGAGTTACTATATTAAAGTAGAATTACACAGTAGAATTTACAGTTTGATTGATATATACGGAAGAACGCCCTAGTAAGGCGCCAACTTAAATTATCTGTTTATTCAAAGGCTAATTTTGATTAAACTTTTTATTTAACCGCGATCTTACTCATTTATATTAAACGTTACATTGGATTGCGCGAAAGCGTGATCCTTTAAAGGTGCCGCTGGTTCACGCTAACCAGTCGGGTATTATCAGCGCTACGGAGGGCGGACAGCTTATTTTCTTTCTCGAGTACTCCACTCATTATTATTATTTTTATTATTATTCCATTATTGAGGAATGTGGGGTTTTATTTTTTATCTTATTTTTGCGATAACTCGGTAATTTTCACAATAACTAAATCTAATACGAGATCATTAGAAATAAAATTCAATTATCTAGAACGTTTGTTTATTGAATTTTAATAACCCTTTCCGATAACTCAGCTAATTATCATGATAACTCAATCATCAGTAAGCTACTGGGAAGAAAATTTAATTTTCTATTAATTTTATCTCATTAAATTTTGATAACACTAATAGTTATCGAGTTATCGGGACTTTTTCAAGTGGAAAAATGTAAAAAGCTGCAAAAATGCAAGTTTTTTTCTAATTTTCGTGATAACTCAGCTAAATATCATGATAACTCTATCATTTTAGTACTATTAGATAGAAAATTTTATTTTCTACAAATTGTTTTTTATAAAATTTTGATAACACTAATAGTTATCGAGTTATCGGCACTTTTATAAGTAAAAAAATGAAAAAAAACGCTAAAATGCTAGTTTTTGTCTAATTTTCGTGATAACTCAGCGAATTATCATGATAACTCCATTTATTATGAATGTATTAGGAAGGAAATTTTGTTTTCTACAATTTTTTTTTTTTATAAAACGTTGATAACACTAATAGTTATCGAGTTATCGGCACTTTTATAAGTGAAAAAATGTAAAAAACTGTCAAAATGCCTATTTTTCTGTAATTTTCGCGATAACTCGGCTAATTATCATGATAACTCCAAAAATATGACTTTACTAATAGAAAATTTAATTTCCTACAACTTTATTGAAGTAAAAAATTTTTTTTAGCCCAATATTTGTCGAGTTATCACAACTTTTTCCTCTGAATCCCAAAAAAAACCTAAAAACCCTCCTTTGAAGTGCAAAAAAAACCTTCTATATAAAACATATTACACATGACCCGGGCATAAGATCACGAGTCATAATAGCCCCTCCCAAACCTATTACGGATAATCTTAGCTTAAAGATTACAACGGCCGTTTTGATTAAAATTGGCTTTTAATTCATTTGCGGTCTTACTCTCTAATCATCTTCTTCCGCGGCGGACCTTTTACCCCAAAAACAACTGCCCGATTAACCCTACCCCCTCTCCTCTCCTCTCCTCTCCTCTCTCCCCTCCCCTCCCATCCCCCGCTGAATTTTTAACATCGAACAAAGATTAAAATAATAATAAACTTGTCACTTATAAATTAAAAGATCGCCTTGAGCAACTCATGCATTAATTTGCAATAACATATTTATATTTATTTTTATTTAATTAATATAGCTTTGGGTTACTTACGATAGGGGGCATTATCTTGGTCGCGCGCAGATGCTTTGACATTTCGGCCAATCACTGTAATGTTCCCGCTGCTGCAAGTCGAGTAGAGACTCACGGAGCGCACCATTGCCGGCACCGCCCCGCACATCACCACCTTAAATAATTAATAATTTTATTTATTAGGAATTTTTGAATTTTTTAAGGTTTAGTATTTTTTTTTGGGACACTTACCATCAGTAGGCACAAAATCTTCGCTAAGACGGCAAGCTGTGGTAACCTGGAATAATAATAATAATAATAATTAGAGCGTTATTTAGGAACCAAAAATTTGGAAAATTGATTTTGAAGGCGATTTTTGGGAAAATTATAGGAGTTGTGGAAAATTTATTAGGAATTCTTGGTAGGAAATTTTATTTCCTACAAAAAAAGGTCTGAAGTAGTTTTTAGCCAAGTCTGATAGTTTCGGAGATAATAAGAATTTAGTAATGGGCAGCAAAAAAAAGCTGCGGAAAATTTTTCCTGTAAATTCTGGGAAAACTATCAGAGCTACAGGAAAATTTCTCAAGACTTATTTGTAGGAGATTTGATTTCCTACAAAAAAGATCTTTAGTAGTTTTTTGCTAAGTCTGATAGTTTCGGAGATATTAAGAGTTTAGTAATGGGCAGCAAAAAAAGCCGTTGACAACTTCGCCACTTGATTCCGGGAAAACTATTGGAGCTACCGGAAAATTTCTCAGAACTTTTTTGTAGGAAATTAAATTTCCTACGTATAAGGATTTGAGTTTTCCTCCTAAGTTTGATATTTTCCAAGATAATGCGAGTTTAGTAATAATGGGCAGCAAAAAGCTGCGGAAAATTCTTCCTCCGAATTCCGGGAAAACTATTAGAGCTACAGGAAATTTTCTCAAGACTTTTTTGTAGGGAATTCAATTTCCTACAAAAAAGGCCCCAAGTAATTTTCCGCTAACTCCGATATTTTCCGAGAAAATGTAAGTTTAGTAATGGGCAGCAAAAAAAGCTGCGGAAAACTTCGCCAGTGAATTCCAGGAAAACTATTAGAGCTACAGGAAAATTTCCAAAGACTTTTTTTGTAGGAAATTAAATTTCCTACAAAAAAGGTCTCTTAAAATTTTTTCCTAAGTCTCATAGTTTCCGAGATAGTGTCGTTCTAAAAAAAAAAAAAAAAACAGCTGCCCTTTTTTTTTTAATTAAGAATTTTTAATTTCCCGCTAAGAAAAATTGAACATTTTTTTTTCTAAGCCATAATAATAATAATAAATAGAGAAATTGTAACGGTTATACAATTTGTCACTGTACTGCGGTTTCAAGCAAGTTACTGTGGTTAGCTAGTGTACTTGCGTAATTACAAGTCTTGTGTTACCACAGGACATTATTTTTAAGATTTATTTGTTTAACAAGTGTGTTAAAACCGTCGCAATTTTACGGTGTTCTACTAGAGTAATTGAACATCTTGAGGTGTCATTAAAAAGAGTAATTAAATCTCTACAATTTTTGTCTCATAAAATTTCTCTAGAACTGATAACAGCCGAGTTATCGGCAATTAAAGAAGAAAATTTTCTTAAAAAATGAATCGTCTAAAATAGTGGGCAGCAAAAAAAAAATGTAAGGATCAGCAGGCGTGGCGTTCTCACCGATTATCATATAAACCCGATCTAGAGAAATAATCGCTCTATAATTTCCGTAAGCATTTCAATAAATTAAACCGATTTGGTATATAGAGAAATAAAAAAAAAAAGGTAAGAATTGTGAGTAATTAATTTAAAATTTAAAAATGAATAAATGTTTGTCGGTGCGCAATTAAATATCGTAACCCGAGTATGTGCACATATAAACGTCTTTGCGCATTACAATTTGATGCGTGTCGGCTGTACCGAGTACCTATAGAGCTTACTTGTGATTAATCTCCGGTAAAAGAGAAACACACAGAAGTTGTTATACAACCGATTTATTTCTCATCTCGGGTTATTATTTATTTATTATTTTATTTTTCTAGCCAAGGTACGCCTACGAGATTTCACGCAATTCATTATCAATTACAGATCTTACAGTTTTTGTTTTTTGTTTTTTCTTTTTTTTTACCGCAGGTGACATGTAAGGAGCTGTTGGAGAAAAATCAGGGTTGTGATCTCGGTAATTTTTATTTTTTTTGTATGATTTTTTTAAAAATTGAGTTATCACTTATTAACAGCCGATAACGCAATAACTAATAGTGTTATCAAAACTTAATGAGACGGAATTTAGAGAAAATTAAATTTTCTTTCTAATAGATTGATGATAATGAAGTTATCATGATAACTAGGCGAGTTATCGCGAAAATTTAAGAAAAACTGGCATTTAAGCGGTTTTTTACAAATTTCCACTTTAAAAATTGCCGATAACTCGATAACTAATAGTGTTATCAAAATTTAATGAGACAATAATTGTAGCCAATTAAATTTTCGTTGGATAACTGCTGATTTAATGGAGTTATCATGATAATTGAGCGAGTTATCACGAAAATTTGAGAAAAACTGGCATTTTAGCAGTTTTTTACATTTTTTCACTTAAAAAATTGCCGATAACGCGATAACTATTAGTGTTATCAAAATTAAATGAGACAAAATTCATAGAAAATTAAATTTTCTTCCTAATAGTAATAAAATAATGAAGTTATCATGATAATTAGCTGAGTTATCGCGAAAACTGAAGAAAAACTGGCATTTTTGCGGCTTTTTACATTTTTTCACTTAAAAAAGTGCTGATAACGCGATAACTATTAGTGTTATAAAAATTCAATTGGAAAAAATTTGTAGAAAACAAAATTTTCTTTCCAATAGTTCAATAATAATTGAGTTATCACGATAAGTAGCTGAGTTATCACGAAAATTTGTGAAAAACTTGTTTTTTTGCGGTTTTTTACATTTTTTCATTCAAAAAAATGCCGATAACTATTAGTGTTATCAAAATATAATGAGACAAAATTTATAGAAAATTAAATTTCCCTTCTATTAGTACCAAAATAATAGAGTTATCACGATAATTAGCTGAGTTATCGCAAAAATTAGGAAAAAAACTGGCATTTTAGCAATTTTTTTATAGTTTGCCATTTATAAAAGTGCCGATAATTCAAAAGTTATCCATTTAACTCAAAAACAATCGAATTATCACAAATACAATTATTCTATCGAAAAATTTCAATTATATTACTAAATTTTCTCTTAAAAAATTCTTACAAAACTCCTTAAGAGTTATCACACTTAAAACTGCCCATAAATTTTCCCGCCTTTCAACCGTTCAATCCCATTAAAAAAAAAAAAAATCTAAATTTATCTCCTAAATTTTCACAGAATCCATAACCATAAAATAAACTTTCTCATAAATTAATTCAAATTATAAAATTTATAAAATTGCGTAAAATTTGACGCAACTAAAAATTAGAATTTAAAATTCCTGTCTTGTCTATAACCGGCACGCGTCACTTTTATGATCCACTGAGTAACACTCACCCATTAAAATTCATGACATTGTCGGGGAAAAATTATATAAAATATTTCACTGGCAATTTAAAAAAAAAATAAAACTATACAAAATTATAAGAGCAAAGATGCGACGCCCCGAAAAATCGCGGGCGTACTGATCAGCTGGTAAGAGAATGAGATGAGGTCACTGTTTTATGTCACCCCGTGTCACACGTGGGGACTTTTATTGACGGGTTGCACAAGTGGGGATTGCGGTTTGCTGTTGCGGTAGGATTCACTTGAGCTTGAAATATTTTTTTGCTGACGCGATGTCCTGAAAAAAAAAAAAAAAAAAAAAAAAAAAAAAAAAAAAAAAAAAAATTTTTTTTTTTTTTTTTTTTTTTTTTTTTTTTATTTAGATGACGGCATCATCAAGTGTCCTCAGAATTCTAGGCAAGTGTCCGAATGGCCGAATGCTAGACTATAAAGTCGCCACGCGACAGTTTTTTTCTTAAAGTCGCGACTACACTCGTGTCTCCATGCACTCGTGGGTTCATTTAAAAGGGAATTTTTAAGTTTTTTTTAACATTGGACGCCAGATAAAAATTTTAAGGTATAGGGAATTAAATTTCCTTACTAATTGTAGTATTATAGAGCGAGTTAATTAGCGATAATTAGCTGAGTTATCGCCAAAATTGTAAAAAAAACGCATTTTAGCAGTTTTTTACATTTTTCTACACATAAAATTGCCGATAACTCGATAACTATGAGAGTTATCATGATATTTGAGCGAGTTATCACGAAAATTTGAGAAAAACTGCAATTTTTGCAGTTTTTTCATTTTCTCACTTATAAAAGTGCCGATAACTCGATAACCATTAGTGTTATCAAAAATTAATAAAAGAAAATTGTAGAAAATTAAATTTCCTTCTTAACAAAACTAAAATAATGGAGTTATCATGATAATTAGCTGAGTTATCACGAAAATTAGAGAAAAACTGCAATTTTTGCAGTTTTTTTACATTTTTTCACTTATAAAAGTGCTGATAACTCGATAACTATTAGTGTTATCGAAATTTAATGAGATAAAATCAATAGAAAATTAAATTTTCTTTCTAACAGCTTAATGATCATTGAGTTATCATGATAACTAGCCGAGTTATCACGAAAATTCGAGAAAAACTGGAATTTTCGCAGTTTCTTGCATTTTTCCACTTATAAAAATGCCGATAACTCGATAACTATTAGTATTATCAAAATTCACTAGGGAAAAATCACTAGAAAACAAAATTTCCTTTCTGATAGTTAAATGATAATAGAGTTATCATGATAATTCGCAGAGTTATCGAAAAAATAAGATAAAAACTGGCAATTTATTAGTTTCTTATTTATCCTGTGACTTAAAAAATTGGCGATAACTCGATTACTATTGGCCCTATGGAACTTAAATACCAAATAAAAATAGTAAAAAATTAAATTTACTTTCTAAAGAGCTAATAAATGTCAAATTATCGAGAAATATCGTGATAAATGCTAGAATCCTAGAAAAAAGAAACATTTGAGGATAAAAATTCCATAACTAGTACGTGATCGTTTAAAAACTATGTAATCTCACGTTTGTTTGATAACTCTGTCCAGTACTTATTACCAGGCGAATTTGTGGTAGCGGAGTACAAGTACGAAGTAAAATAAAAAAACAAAAATGGTTTATTTAGAGTGTAGACTTAAAAATATCAAGTGAACCCGCAGGATCTGATGGGCTTGCTCTCTCGAGGTTTTTATTTTTAAGAGGTTTTAGTGTCGTCGAACCCGTAATCCCCAG